GGAAAGAAGGGAAGAGGGAGTTACAAATCAATGAGTACAAAATTTTTGTTCTTCAAGATGAATAAGTTCTACAAGATCTCCTATATGACATTGTACCCCTAGATAACAATATTGTACTCTTAAAACTAAGAAGGTAAATCTTATGTGAAGTGCCCTTTTTTTAAAATAAAGAATTATTTTAACTTTTAAAATTAATTAAGGGTAAGTCTTATGTGAAGTGCCCTTTTTTTAAAAAAAAAAAGAATTATTTTAACTTTTAAAATTAATTAATGAATTAATTTATTTTTAATTTGATCAAAGAGGGACAGAGCAAGCAAGAGAGAAAGTGAGAAAGCAAGCCTCCAGGTCCAGGAATCGAACTATAGTTGGTCATGTGGGAGACCAGCATCCTCAATCACCACGCCACCTGCTGGCCCCATCATGTGAAGTGTTCTTACTATAATAAAATCAAAGAACAAAGTGGCCCATGACCCACTACCCACAGTGGTACTAGGAGGGAGGGATCATGTTCCTTCTAGGTCTTTCCATTTGGGTTGAGATACTAATGCTCTCTTTGGAGAATTCTCCCCTTACAGTGGGTGCTGAAGGGTTTTTCTCTGTTCCTGAGACCAGCAGCTTCTCCTTGAATAGATGTTGGGGCAGCTCCCTGGCAGCAGAGTGGGAGGAGACTTTGACAAAGCCTCCTTGTCTTTCCAGATGGTTCCACTTAAGACGTGGTTTCACTGGCATCCGGAGTAATTGATAGATGCACTCAAGATCCGTTGTCCAGAAGTTTAGGCTACAGAGAAGCCCTCACTGACTGCCGTGCTCCTTCCAAACTGCATTGAATCCAACAGCTAGTCATTTATCTCAATTCTTACATTCAACAGCAAACTCCTGACACAAGCATAAATACTCCAGTGAGGTTCATACTTGCTCTGGGCCTTATTCTGGAAAACACCACCACATTTGTAAAGGTAAGAACCAGATGGTCTGACTCAGTGACCTCAAAAACCTTATAAATAGCAGTTTTGGTGTTAGATTTTTAAAATCCTATAGCTGTGAGGTATTATTTACATTCTTTGATGCTCTACATCAGTCTTAGAAAGTTTAGATTTTGGCAAAACAAGAAAACCAAGATTTTGTCAGTGCCTCCACATATTTCCTTTATTTACACAATTCATATAATGTATAAAGTCATACCCCAGATGTGATTTTCATATTTGGTTGTAGAGGTTTACTGTACAAATGATCTCTACCAATATTCAACTGGAGTTAACATATGATGTTTGGAAAACATTCTTCGAACATGTGTGTTTTTCTCTTCAACGTTAGCACAAGAATTTTCAAATGCTCTGCTACTAATTTTGTTTATCCTCTAGGCTATTGAGGTTCACAAAAGAGCCTCAAATGTTAGTTGACCACTAGTCTTATCCACTGGTATCCTGGCCTAAACTCTTACTTTAATCCCATAGTTTTATTAAATTGCTCCTAATATTGACATAGGCAGCTTATATTTGTGATGAGACAGGCATAGTGAAATAATATTATAACAAGGTCTGATGGGTCCAATAATTCTGCCATATAAAATTAAGGAACTGTTATGATCCAGCAGCTTCAATGCATCAGACCCAGGTCCACATCCTTCATGTCTTGGCTGCACCTGAGGATAGTAAATGTCACTGAGGGTGCTTTTGAGTGTTGGAGTTGAGGTGCTATGGTTGGTGCTCCCACCTCCCATGGCAGTCTTCTCTAGAGATCTTCTGTAGTAGTGGGAGCTTCCTTATCTGGAAATACCTAGAGTCGCACCCCATAATGGGGTGGCCCAGATCTCTTGATTGACCTGTATGGAGTACATAGACCTTTTTGCTCCCTCAGCTGTAGAAGCTCAGACTCTTTAGATCTTCCCTCAGGTTTCCGTCTAGCGGACTTGACCTAGGTCAGAAGTACTTTGTGTAGAGAAGCTATTTTGTATAGGCTGAAAAGGAAGGATGTCTGATGCATAGCCTCTGAAGGTGAGGATGGAGAGAAGGAGATGAAACTAGCAATGATTGATTGAAAGAATTTCAGCTGCAACTGTCATAATTTGTTGATTAAAGCAAAGGCAAATATGACCAAGTGTTAACAGTTCTGGTGAGAATGTGGATGCTGTTTATTCTATTTATTTATGTGTATTTCTTATAATGCTCTTTCAAAAATTAACTTTGAATAAAAAGTA